GGTAGAGGTGTCGTATGGCAACCATTGCACCTGTTCACAATGGCATAAAAACATTTATAAAAATATTTATATTATTTTAAATAACGTGTAACTAAATTTAAATAAAGAAACTTTACGTACATCGGAGGCAGTGAGCATGTCAAGTCTCCGACGGATGGCTATGAGACGCTCGTCCTTCCTCTGACCCGCCGGTGGGCTCCACATCTGAGATCGTGCGGAATCGTTAGGACCGAGGGGTAGACGTCCTCCCTGGGGTCGGAAATCGGGGATATACTCATAAATCCAAGACTGCATAAGAGTTAAGCAGCCGGAAAGCTGTCTGGAGTCCCCTCTGCTGGTAATACCTAACTGTCGGTACAAATATGCCAGCATAGCCGATCCCCACGAGTAACCACCAACGGCATCCACGCCGTTAAGCACCTCAGCTAGGAGCTTGGGAGTCACTCTACTACCACTCTTGTCGCCGAACAAGGTGGTAGACAGCAGCAACCAAATCCAGGCACCAGCCTATCCAACGCCAACTGGTCTTTACCCTAGAATTTCTTCACAATGGAGCCTTATGCCACACAACCGCGCTGCCAAAACGTCCCAACGAGGTCAGTTTTACTGACCGAAAGTATATCCATGCAATAATCCTTGTAGGCCTTTGTATCCGGCTCCTCAACGACCATGGATCCCTCTACAGGAATGTCCAAAATGGCCCGGACATCGTGCAACATAATGCTCATTTCACCAAAAGGCAGGTGAAATGAGTTAGTATCTGGCTGCCATCGCTCCACAAATGTAGTAAGCAGTAGAGTGTCCAAGTGGGCGTGCATGGAGTCTGCCAGATGTGACAGTCCAGTACCCTTGATCATATCAAGTGTCTCGAAAGACATATCACCTCGCCAATCTTTCAGATTACCGAACGCTTGCACTCTAAGATGGCATTTCAGTAAGCCTCAGCACTCTCCATTCCACAACCGCGAGGCTACGTGCCCTAGAAAGCTAGGGATCACACTGTCATCCATGGGCCCACCGTCCACTGGACCTTTAACGATCCACTCTTTCTAATGATCAGTCCTAGATCGTTTGCTAGTACCTTCATTAGAATAAAACATAATGTCACTAAAACAAGGCTATGGGTCGTTTTGATATAAAGTGCGCGAAAAACGGAGCCAAAACGAGTACAAACGAGCAAAAAAAGCAGAGTCTGTTAAACTCGCGAGTCGCGACTTATCTCGTGAGTCGCGAGATCCGTCTCGCGAGTCGCGAGCTTGACAGAGCATCAATAGCCAGAATCTCGCGACTCGCGACATCAATTCGCGACTCGCGACATCAATTCGCGACTCGCGACTGTACTCGCGAGTCGCGAGTCGCGAGATTCTGGCACTTTTGGCTTTGTGAAATCGCGACTCGCGACTTAATCTCGCGCCTCGCAACCTCGACTCGTGAGTCACGAGTCGATGTCGCGAGTCGCGAGTTTAATAGAGCCGAAATCTGTGAATTCCCGACTCGTGACTTCATCTCGCGAGTCGCGACTGTACCAGTAACTTGTGATAACACCTTATTTAATAACAAACAACAATAAATACGTAAATTATTTACCTGAGGATCCAGTGCTAGAAAAACGCCCCCCAGCCTATCGTGGAGGTTCAGGATGAACAGGCCGTGAAGGAGCCGTAGGCTGCACAGGAACCGTAGCCTGTGCAGGAATATCGTCATCGCCCTCATCATGTGAAGATGTCGACTCGTCAGAATCCTCAGCCATATGGGCTACCGACTCATCAACATAATATCCCTGCTAACCGTCTGATGCTGGTGCTGGTGCAGGGGGTATCAAGCTGCCTGACTGGCCAGCAAAAACATATCTATGCTGACTGAGCTCGTACAGTGGTGGTGCAACATATCCCTGCTGACCAACTGGTACTGGTGGTGTACCATATCCCCTCTGACCATCTTGTAGAGGTGTCTACAGTCTCGAACCGCATGCCTGGCCAGTCTGTACCCTCCGAGCCTCTTGGATAATGAATTCTCGATCCTGACGAGCGGACGCAGTTATACCCCGTTGCTTCGGGTGTCGGTGTCCAGATTCGTCAATATACTCATCCATCTCGTCGGCGTTCCTATCAGATCGTTCAGGCCTAGCAATACCCTAAATCACCAATTTAAATAAAAATTAGTAAATATTTTTTTTTAAATTTTGTAAATATTTTTTATTTAAAATTTAATTTTTAAAGTCAAATTAAATTGATTACTTTATTACTATAATAACGTCTTAAGTTAATTGTTGTAGCACAAATTATTTTTATTTTTACCGAGTACCGAATCGAAAGATTCGTTCCCCGGGTCGATCTCTCGAGGAAGGCGGTTCGGAAGTTAGCTTTGGTATCGATAGCACACAAAAGCAAAATAAATCCTAAACACACTAATCAAATAGAGGATGGAATGAATTACCAGCTAAGAAATAAGATAAAAGCAATAATCTACCTAAAAATGTGAACGAAACGAAGATGAGAAGCTAGGGAATCAAGGACAATTAATTCAAGTTCTACTCGCACACCGGGACATGAATCATTCTATTCTAGATTGATGCTCTCGCTTAAACATCTAGCGGTTCGCTCCCAATAACTCTTCGTAACAAGGGATTGAACATAGACGAACAAACTCGAGCATACGACACATGCCAAATATCCCAATCCCAATAACTTTTCGTAACAAGAGATGGGTCATCGGCAAGCGCGTATTTCAACCCAAAACTTATAGACTAATCAGTTATGACATAGTCTACCTCATGCAAGTCTAGGTCTACGACTTTCCCCTTTCGGGTCTAAAGATCGCTAATTCAATTAGAAGAAGTTTAATCAACTAATCACATAGAATCGACAAACCCTAACTCGACAAATTAACATCCAATTGTCACCAATAGCAAGATCGAAATGTCACTTTTCGATTATATCAATCTACCGAACAAGAATTCAACAATTCTGAATCAATTCAACCCACACAAGAACGAACAATTCAAGCCCGAGAGATACAAATTAAACAAGAACAATCATCCTCTATCCCTAGCAATAAGAATTAGCTACGCAATATCAATCCAACACAATCAATCATCTCTCTCAATTCAATCATTTTTCATGAATTAATAATAAAGAGAAGAACTTACAATAAATTGCAATTCGAGTGTTGAATCCAAAATTACAAAGCTTAATCCTTGAATTTCAAGAAAAAGAGGAAGAAAAATAGAAGAGAAAGATGAAAAAAAAGAAGGAAGAAAGGAGAAGAAGAAGAGAGGAGAAGAAGGGGAAGAGAGGAGTTTTTGCGTGTTTTCTTGTTCTAGGTTCGTCCCCAGGAGGGGGAGAGAATGAATCCTCAATCGTTCAAAAAATCTGCTTTTAAAACCTGTTTTCACGACCTCCGCGGCCGCGACTTGCTCCGCGGCCGCGGAAAATAGCTGCAGCAATTTTTGGGTTCGCGGCCTCCGCGGCCGCGGAGGTATTCCCGCGGCCGCGGAGAAAGTTGGTTGCACTGCGCGGCTTCACGGTTTTGCTTCGTTTGAGCTCGTCCGAACTCAGAATTGAGTTCCGTTTTTTCCTATGCATAGCTAACGAACCCCTTTATCTAATGATGTAAGCTTCCCCAAAAGTTTCTCAGAAATCTGTTCTCCCAAAGCTCCCGACCTACACACCAAAAACGAAAACACAAACGGAAGACTACCGGAAAAAACATAAAAATTACCGGGGCACTCAAGACAACACAATACACACAATAAACGACAAAATGAACCTAAAACCAACTAAATGACTCAAAATAGGAGAAAAAGAATGAGAAAATAATAACGAAAAATGCAACAAAAATGGGACAAACAACTCCCCAACACTAAGACCTTTGTTCGTCCCGAACAAAAAGAAAAGAAAAGACACGAAAACAATCAAACGAGTATGGATAACGGTTTCAGATAAGACAAGTCTCAAATTAATCAACTTAGCCGAGGAGAATTCCAATTACCAATCATGCATACCTCAACTACACTTGAATGCAACATTTCAAAAAGACAACTCTCGAGCACGAGAATATAATATGTATATGCCTCACTCAGTTTCTTTCGTGAATATAGAACTGGGACTCTCACATTGGTCGATCATCATGCATCAACATAAGCTTGCTTATTGTCTATTCATACTCTAAACAATCAAAATAATGAATTGTAAATCAAAAGGACTTTCGGGATGTAGTGTAGGCATCAGGGAAGGAAAATTATAAAGACAGAATGACTCAAATAAACAATCACATCCTCGAGCATATAAACTACTCGAATATCGCACCACCTATCCAAAATCAACACAACATCAATCATTCTCATCAGACCTCCATGCAACAAATACATATGCTCAAGTTGAATTGCACTTCAAGTACTCGACTTTTCTTTCTTTTCTTTTTTTTTTCTTCTTTTTTTTAAGGGGGTTTGCTTTTTTTTTTTAACAAAACCGAGACGTACGGACAACATTCTCTAGGTTTAAACATTGGAGGTCATCCAAGTTTCCTAGAGTAGTT